ATCCCCACATTTTAACATAACATAGTTTTGTTATAAGGATTTTTGTCATAATTGAGCAGCCCTAATGCAAATTATAAAGTTGCTACACTATGTGACAGCAAACCAAAACATTTGAGACTACACCAAAAAGTAAGACCCCCAACCCTAAAGACGCCACAGCCCCAACTTGGTAACAGTTGGCTTAAAAAAAATTAAAAAAAAAATCCTAATTTAAAGAATATAAATTGTATTTTCTCAACAGTTCTGAGTAATGACTTTTTATATATGAGCAGTTCATTTATTCATAATCTCAAGGCTTTGTATTCTAAATATCATACTGTACATGTAAATTCAATCCCTCAACAAAACATAGTGCAATCGATTCAGCTCAGGCCATTACACACATTTTCCTCAGCTTTGCATGAAAACATAACATAAATAACAGAGCACATGTAAATATAATCATTTCCGCAAAATTGTAAACATTTGAAAACTACGTAACAGCTTCTATGATTTATGTCTGTACCAGGGCACAACTTCTTTTGCTGTCATTTTTCTCAATGGCATGCAAAATTAAAGCTGGAAAAGTTATTCTAGTTTGCAGCAAATGTGGTGACATACACAGTACAAAAGATATACCATAATTTCCAGACTATTGAGCACACCTGCCAATATTCACACCTGAATATTGGCTGCACTTCTCTATAAGTCGCAAGTGTCTATGTTGTAACATGGGATATTTACATAGAAAGATTTTTTCACTTTTAATTAAATAATTTTTTTTTTCCAAAACAGTGCCTGTAACACGGCTGGTTACGTTAGTTCTTTTCTGCTTCGGCACCCCAAGCGTAGTTGGAATGCACAGGGGAGACTTAGTGATCTGCTGCAGGGCTGAAGCTAACATTAGCTCCGGTGCTAACTCCCTTCACTTTGTGCTTGGCCACAGTAGAGGAAAACGGAAACAGGGAAGCCACTATCATCAGCCACACAGAGCTTTTTTTTTGCTAATTGGCCAATTGAGATGCATACTGGCTGACTTTCAAATATCAGGTCATTTGTCATTACGGTAGACATACAACTTGGTTTGATGAACAGAGTACCCTTAGCCAGGCCTCCTTGATCATTCACATTATTAAAGTTTTGTGCAGAGAGTAGAAAATAATTCACTTTTCATATCATAAAGGTTTAGTATTGTGCCAAGGTTATAATGATAAACACACTTCCATTGAACAATGATTACAACTTGGTGGTGGGTGAAATTATCGATAAATAATGACCATAATCACTTTTTTTAAGTCACACTTTGCTGTCGATATGTCTATTTCTGGCTATGTTGAACCAATATGTTGTTGAGATGTCATATTGCAACCTTAATCTATTAGCTTTTTTGATCAGCATGTGTTTGTACTGTATTATTAAAGGTTTGCTGCTACATACAATACCTTGTTTATTTCTTAGTAGATTTGTAATTTATTAATATTACAACTTGTATAGACTAATGCATTTGCAAAACAAATTCATAATTCCATAAACGTATCAGGACACCAGTGATTTCCACATAATTATAACAGTTCTGTTTTGTGCCAATATAATGATTTACACTTCCATCCAGGTGTGTTGAAAAACACAGACCATCTTTCATCAAAATCAACCAGAAATTTAAATTCGTTACCTGTTATTTTGTCTCGGACTAGCTTACAGGACTCAATCTCTCCGATGCTCCCAAACAAACTCTTCAACTCCTCTTGAGTCATGTTCTGAGGCAGATAGTTGACTATCAAGTTAGTTTTACTGTCCTCCATGCTTCCTGACTCAACAGGTGAGGAGCAATTGTTTGACATTGTTGAAGGGCCGTTGCTTGTGTTGTTGCAAGTTGGCCCATTAGACAGCTGTGTTTCCATGGCAGCAATTACCTGCTAAAGAAACAGAAGGAAAATTCAGTCAGTCCAAACAAAATAAATAAATAAAATAAAATCCACAGGCAAGACAAAGTCAACCAAAAAGACCAGACCTCTTAACACACTTAACACTTTTGGGGTAATACTGACCAGTAGTTGTTATCTAAATCAAATCATTGAAACCTAATAAAGGCATTTGAAATCACAGAATATTGGTTATTAAACATATTCTATGAAGAACCTATGAATAGTGGATTCATAAAAGTTTTAGTTTAAGTTTTTAAAAGACTATTTTAATTGTCCGAACATATAGATAACAATAATAATTGAAATCTCAAAGTCACACCTTAAAAAAACTACTTTGATATAAGAACTACATATAGAATTAGCCTTTACAATTGTCTCTCAATAGGGACCTTTCTATTTAATGTTTTAAATTTATAGTGACAGGCAACCAACATGGCAACCAAAGGAAAACTTACATTCCTGACAAAACCTTGGTTTGCAACCCATATGGCACCACGAGAACTGTAAAACGGTGTGCTAGCATTGAACAGCAGCGCCTTTATCAGTTAAAACAAGTAAATTAATGTATTAAGAGTGATCATTTTAACACTATCACCATGTGCACAGAGCAAGGCTCTCAACTCAAACAGTTAACATTTCTGTTGTATCACCTTGTGGCTGGCTGACATGTTTAGACCATACCAATAAAGTAAAAAAAAAAACAACTTTGGTACGAGATTTATACAATAAGCCTTCTCATAAAAAGAAAAAAAAAAAGCCTGAATCCCAAATTGAGCGTGATTAATTTGGATTTAACGTCAAAAAGTCTGAACAGCTAACGTCATAGGTATGGGCTGAGCACCAAGACTGTATGTTGTCAAAAAAGAAGTCCCACAGACCCCAGTCCAAGGCTCAGGTGCCCACGAACCACTTCTAAGCAGAGAAGCCACATCGCACAGTCTGACTGCCATGTTAGTTTGGAGTTCCCGTCTGAAAATGTGGACACAAAGAGTACTTCATGTTAGAACAACATCATGAAAAGTAACAGTCAGGTGATGAAATGTCATTGTGAGGGTGGGGCAGGGGGTGATGGAGTTTTGTCAATTTCCTTTTTTTTTTTTTTTCAAACCAGTTATCTATGTAGATGGGCTCGAACCAGGATAGAGTCAAAGTGAGGAGGTCACCATGTATCTTTATTAAGAAGCAGGACCAACAGTGGAACAGAGACGGGTAAAGGGGTCAGTCGGTAGAGCGAGAACTCTGGCTAAAGCATCAGGCACAACAATAAAAATGTATGGGAAAACAGCACAGATGTCCACTGCAACTGTGAGGCACCAATCAATTGGTTGGCTCACATTACTCACATTCAGCAATGAGGAGCAAGCTTATGTTTCGCTGACATGCTGCATTTGTTAAGTTGACTCTGGCAGGCAACAGCAGAAGAAAAAAAAATACAGGTATTTCATTAGGCTGAACAATCCCACATTACTATAATGAACTACTGCAATCAGATTAAAGTGACTGAGTACAGGCCAGAGGCTAATTAATAACAAAACCACAAAGACAACCACAAACCAGGCCTCACTGTTGAATTTTCAAAATAAATTACCAGATAAAAGAAACAAGCGTTTTTGATAACAAACTGCACAGGAAACAGTAACAAAGCTTAACCAACAAACCAAACCTAAATCAACCAATGTTACAGACGACCACCATTATGCAAGAATCAACAAGGGTAAACCAAAAGCCACAATGTGATTTTTTCTTGAAAACTTAAGACCACTTTGTCAAGGCAAAAGTAACAAGTCTGTAAACCAAGGCTGCCTAGCTGCCTTTAACTTAACTGCTTGGGGCTACAGTAACTCAGGATGGAGGTTGGTACCCATTTCTCTTATTGTTTCCTAATATTCAAAACAGGCAGGTTAGATGCTGTGATTAAACACAGCTGACGGTACTATTGAATAAATAGTTCAATAGATTAGAACAATTTCCTATATTTATGTTGCATCATTTCCATAACACAAACACAGCTAAAAGGCAGTACTAGTAACACAGGGACATACATTTTGTTTTGTGTAAGTAGGCACAAGGTCAAATAATCTGTTTGAAGTAAGGCTTACAAGAACTTAACCTCATAAATAACTTTTGCTAACTGAGCAAAAAAAAAAAAATAGATTTAAAGAGGGAACTTGCATTTCTTAGGATGAAAATGAAAAGCTTTGATTATTTAACCAGATCTACAAACAGGTTCCTCACAGTCAGGTCACTAATTCTTACTTAAAATATAAACAAACAAAGAGAGACAGTGGTAAAAATATAACCTTCCTGGCAATGACAAAAAAACAGCCTGGTTTATCAGAGTGTGAAAAACTGGGGGTGTTCTGTGAGCGAGTCTGGTTACAGTCCACTGTGATTTCTTGACTAAAAATGACAATGTACTTAACAAGAGTTACTTATGGAGATGTTAAGACAAGCTCCTATACTGAGAAAATTAACAGACATCGTCGTGAGCATCCCACACTTTTTTCAGGAGGTATTTAAAAGAATGTGTATACGTATGTGCCTGTGTGTGTATTCTAGTCCAAGTAAACTTGTCAGAACAACAGAGGCTTTTGTTGATAAACATTAAACAGCAATCAGCACGTTATGTTTTACATTGGGTTACAGTGGGTTAGCAAAATACCATCAATCTGACAGATTACAAACAACACATAAAAAACTGTTTTGTCAACATTGCTGACACTCATATTGTTTACAATCAAAGTAAACAGTCATAATTTTCAAATATGACCATAACAGCAATTTAAAATTAATTCTCTTACCCTGGGAAACACTCTGTTCAGGTGTCTAGTAAATGTGTGATGATCTAGGCAGGAATATTCTAAACGTAGCTACTTAAAATAAAGCACTGACAGACCCCCACATAAAATAATGCTGCACAAAATGTAATATAAAAAATGCAAAACCGCTGAAAACAAACAAACAAAAAATCCACCACAAAAATTTCTGGTGTCAAACTCACTGTGAATTTGTGAACTGATGAATTTGTTCTATGTTATTTACTTCGAGAAAAATTCATTTTTTACTTTATGGGCGTACATGAGCCCTTGCACTGCACTTTGGTTTAGTCAGGTGTGTTGGAGGAGCTCGGTACTGTAGTGGAATCTGTGCAAGAACAAATTCACAACAGTGCATTCTCAGCTGAATTAACCGCCTCCTGGGTCACACACAATATGCCTACCCCAGTGTTCTCCACTGCGAGTTAGAAACCATCTGTAAAGCAGTCCTAATGCAGCCACTGTGCAGAGAAAGGTTCCTCTAAACAGCCTCAGTGACGGATCAACAGCTTTCCTTTTATAATTACGTCTACAAGAGTGACTTCTTGTTCGATTGTCTTAAACAACAAATGGTTAGCTTAGACATCTTTGTGACATCTATTTTCCAAAGATGTTTACTGTCTGAGTAATACCTTTAGAACAAAACTGTTATGTGAACTGTGAATTTTTGACAGTTCCAAAAGTTCAAACCACCAAAGTGTTCGATAAGGGTTTTTTGCTCAGAACAACTTCCCTGTGGCCCACTGATGATTAACCTTACTGTTACATAAATTAAATAAATGAGTTAGTGCTTTCCCTGGCTCATTGTAAAATCATCAGTGCATCTCTTTCTTAATTGCTAAACCAGAATGAGACACAGACAGATTGATATACTTTTTTAGACAAATTAATCCTACAAATATAACAAATGGGATGTTTAAAAACAAAAAGCATGGCTTGTAATTTGACAAGAAAACTAGCAAATAATATCAGCAAATATGCAATTGTGAATCTTCACAATGATTCATGTTGACATCCAGGTTAATTAGCCTTTGTCTCTAAATAGAAAATACAGAACTTAGACATCTTCAAATAATGTCACCTACAATACTGTGTCAGCACCAGTGTTTGTAATGGCCCGTGTGCTGCAGGTCTGTATATCTGCACTGGTCTCATCCTTCAGTCGAGATCTCCATAATTTCATTTCACAGACTTCAACATGATTTGCAGTGTCTACGTATCCCCCACATAGATATGTTAAAACTAATAAGCCAAAATAAAACATGCCAACAGGAGAATTGAATCATGTAAAATGAGTTATTCAAATCAGTTATTACTTACCAGCTGTCACTGCAGCAATACAACTTAAATAGACTGCTGTTTATTCTGTGAAAACAAAAATGTGTTGAATTACTCAATCCATTCATCCATTTTCATCCGCTTATCAATTACTCAATTTTACAATTAATTGCTGTATTAATGCTATAGTACATTCTTTGTAATTTTCCTTAATACCATCAAAAAAAAAATAGCGTCAGAAAATATGCCGTGTGTTGCTTTATTTCGGTCTTTGCAAGTTTTTGCATGTGAAGGAAAAATGGCAGAAGACTTATTCCCTCATACAGTGTATCAGATTAGCTGTGTGGGAATATTTTGGCTAAAGAAGAAAAGTCTAAGATAAGAACAAAAATATTTGGTAGAAAAATGACTGCTCATCAAGTGCCATACACGGCCCCCCTTTCAAGGGAGTACCCTTACAAACAATGAGTTCCATCCTCCCTTTCCATCACCCACCACCATCTACGTGCATAAAACCTGCCACCAAAAGGTAAATAATATATATTTTAGTTCAATTGATATTTACTTGGGTAAGAAACTGGGGTCCTGGAATGGATTAAAATTATTTACCATTATTATTATTCACTACTTATTTCCTACGATGAAAACAGTTTCAGATGTTGACCAGTTCAGCCGTAGCGAACAAATATTGTGTAGCTTGAGGTTCCACAGTACAGCCAACATGTTTCAAAAACAAGCAGGACAAGCCACTGACTTTGTTCCCCATAGTAAAGGTAAATACACAATAACTTGATTATATTATGTAAATGTATTCCTAATGGGAAGGACATTAAATGCTAGCATGTCATTTGCAATTAATTGTTTACAATATGACACGGGTTCGGCTTTCAGCACAATGTAACAATTTACACGGCATTCACCTATTCACTATTCGTATATAAACAGTGTGACGGTGATCTTTTTTTAAAATCTTTTTTGTTGAACAGTTTGTCTCTGTGTAGTGACCTGTAGAAGAAAACAATATGTAGTCTGTCCTCAGTGTCCAGTCAGTGAACATTTAGCATTTACTCCTTTTCCCCAATCAACAAGTAAACGTTGAGCTTGACTGTTTACTAATTTCTTTATATCACTGTAATTTAAACAAAAAAAAAAAAAAAAAAAAAACACAAAAACAATAGATACATTAGACCAACAATTGAAAGATTGAAAGAAAAAACATTAACAGCTGGAATAGATCAAAATTGATTGCCTAAATAATTTGAACAATTCCCCTGAGGGATTAATGATTGGTCCAACATAAAAATATAGTTAAATATACAAATACAAAAATTGGGTCACATAATTAGTGATATAATTATTTTGTGCGATTAAATCTACAGAAAAATAGAGGTCCTGTAGCCCTTCACTAATAATAAGCAATAATTGTGATAATTGTAATACCATGATATATCCTCTGACAATAACCATACCAAGAAAATCGTGACATCCCTAGTAGAATCAATAATATCAAAGCTGCCTTAACAGTATAAGGAAAAACTGCATCAACATAGGACAATAAATGGGTAGTGGACCAAAATGTTCCAAAGAAACAAGACTTGTATTGTATTTAGTGATTTCACTCATACAAAAAACAAAAACTTTTGCTGTTATTTGTTACTGTCATTTTTGTGGCCAAAATATTCAGAATGAACAAGCCAGTAGCTGGCAGTAACTATGGCTATAACATTACATTGAGGATACAGAAAAGCAGTAAAAAGCCAAAAAAACAGCAGGAGCTAAAAGAAGGGAGAGCTAGTTTAAATCAGTGGTAAACTGATTAACTTATTAATATTGGCTGTAGTTGTGTTCCATAACTTAAGTTTTTGCCAAGTGTTT